TGCGATCGCGCAGATCGCGTTCTCCGAGGGAATGGCGGAGATCGTTATTGCCATCACGGCAATCCCGATTGCCAACCTGGTTGACCCCGCGACCGCGGTTATCATGGCGATTGTCGCGGTTGTCTCGTCGATTATCCCGGTTGTTGCGGCGGTTGTCATCCCGGTAGTCGCGGCAGTTGTCGTCCCGACCACCGTCATGACCACCGTTTCCTCCTTGACGGTTGTCTGGTGGGTCGTTGTTGCGCGAGCCACGTTGGTTGGGTGGTTGTGGGCGACTTGAGTACTGACGACTACGACTTGATTCGACTAAGACGGATGGAGCCTGGGCTTGGTTTGCAATCTCTGCGGTCTGGGCCATGGCAGTCGTCAGGTAGGCTTGCATATCATCACGAATTGCCTGGATTTCTGGGGTATTGGGTAGTCGTTGCATTGTCGTCATAGCAACAGCTATGTTGGCGCTTGGAGTCCTGAAGACCTGCTTCTCCCCTACCCTATCAAAGGCATTGTTGAGATCGCGTGGCTAGAGCCTTATGCGTTGTGCCTCCTCGGCTTCGGCTTGTCTGCGATTAAGCCGATCAATATTGCGTGCTTCGCGTGCTAGCCTTTCTTGTTCTGTTTCACCAACTGCCGGGGGTTCGTCATTACTGACGACATTGATTAAGTCTCCTCGCCTTGGTGGGAAGGATGGGAATCGTGGAAACCCTAGGGGGCGGTCTGGGATATCTAGATCGTAATCAACTTCTTCATCGTCGCGAAGCTAAAGCTCAGTGTGGATGGAGCCATTAGATGCGGTGCTGGACGGCCGCCCTCTTGAACTGTGTGGACCGATCCTTCTTGATACTCCTCAATCCGAACCATGTTGACGAAGTTGCGTGGTTTTGGCATAGGTCGATGTATATTGTACGCATAATTGGAAGCAGTGTTTTGCAGGTCATAGGGCTGGGCCTGGTAATTCTCCATGGCGCCGTTCGGTCCTTGGGTGGACATTCACCCGGAGCTCATCGCCCTCATCGGCAACGGCCTCCGCCTGCACGGCGTGGCGCGCCGCCCTCCCGCCGCCAATCCCTTCGCTTGTCACCGTCACTGTCCCACCACCCGGTGCATCTTCCCTCTACCGGCACTTCCCGGAGGTGTTCGCCCTTTTCCTGCCGGCGGAGCGATTGTTCCCCCTCACCACGTTTCGACGTGGCAGCCTCTGCGTCGGCTTGAGCAACGGTTGGTTGGCCGTCGACGCTCGCTCCTGCAGCCTGGGGATCTACCTCGTGAGCCGTCTCTCGGGCGGCAAGGAGATCCGTCTCCTCCCGCTGAGGAACGACAACAAGCTTGTGCCAAAGATCGTGTTCACGCCAAACCCCAAGCCTGATGACTATGTTGCCATTGCTATCTGCAACCTGCATCGGCTGGCCTACACCAAGACACAGTGCCGGCCCTGAGGGGGGGCAGGAGGTGCGATGGCCAGGGGCCCAGGCGGGATGGGGGCCCAGCGGGATTAATGCAGAACATGAACAACAGAAGTCAGGCCAAGAAAGAAGATGGCGGCGCCATACGGTGACACCCATCAAGACGCAGGATTAACGCAGAATCGCAGCAGCCAGCACCGGCAGATCAGCAGCCAAGCCGGCCAGACGCCGCCCATGAGACCCATCATCGTGGAAATGCGAAGTTGTGCAGCCACCAATGAGCCAAGGCCAAGCCGCGCCGACTGAGCACATCCCATCGGCCATCGCCCGTCTTGTCTTTCTTTTCAGCAATCAAGACTGAGCCGAGCCGCCGCCAACGCCCCACTGCCGCAGCCCCGCATAGCGTGAAGCGAATCAGCGATCGGCCGATCGCTACTTCGTATAGACTTCCGCGAACGGCGAGACGCAGCGCCGCGACAAGGCAGCCGAGGGCCCGAGGCAGGGCTCGACGAGGACGACGAGTCGACGACATCTGAAGATTTATCTTGGTTATTGCCTTATGCCTTTCTTGGTTATTGCCTTATGCCTTTTTTGTGATTTGTGAATCTTGGTTCTGAATTAGTTCATGTCTAAATTGTCTAGGCCCTATGATTTTTTTCCTTGTTTAAATTTTATCTAGTACTTTGTACTCATATAGTCATGTTTTTCTTATAATTTGGGTCAGGTGTAAGAATTTTAGAATGTTACCTAAAAAACATTTATCAGGGGCTGCAAAAAGAAAACGGAAAAGACAAGAAGAACAGTTTGTTCAGTCACAACAAGGTGCTTTAGATAAGTTTTTTTCAGCTTCAAGTAGTGTTGTGCATGATGACAACCCTATTGATGCACCTGATAATCAAGAAGAAGAGCAACAACAAGTTAATGATAATTTAAGTGAACAAGTTGATGCTATAGAGAATGAAAATTTACAGCCTTCCTCTCAACCTGAAAATTCAGTTGATGATGTGCAACCTTCTATTTATGATGTCTTTGATCCCAGAACTTGGGAGAATCTTGATAATAAAGGTAGAGATATTTTGATTGAAAAAGGATCAGTGAGAGAATTGAATCTTGAGTTCCCTGTAGATGCTCACAATAGACATTTTTCATATGCTTACTACTCCAGAAAGTTAAGCAATGGTGAGGTGGTTGATAGAAAATGGTTGGTTTACTCTAAACATGTGGACAAAGTTTTTTATTTTTGCTGCAAATTGTTCAAATCAGATCAGAACAAAAGTTTGGTAGCACACGATGGATTGAGGGACTGGAAACATCTTAGTTTAAGACTCAAGGAACATGAGAATAGTGTTGAGCATATAAGAAACATGAATACTTGGAATGAACTTAGGCTGAGGTTGAGCAAAAATAAAACAATTGATGATGATTTGTAACGAGAAATTGCAAAGGAGAGAGAGCGTTGGAGACAAGTTTTAGTAAAAATCGTTTCTGCTGTCAAGTTTCTTGCTAAACATAATTTGGCTTTCCGAGGGCAAAATGAGAAACTATATCAAGCTAACAATGGTAACTTTCTAGGCACAGTTGAAATGATGGGTGAATTTGATCCTGTGATGCAAGACCATATTAGGCGGATTCAAAATAGTGAGATTCATCATCATTACCTTGGGCATAAAATTCAGAATGAGATGATTTCTCTTCTTGCAGATTGTGTAAAACAAACTATATTAAAGATCATTAAGGATGCCAAGTATTTTTCTGTGATTTTAGATTGTACTCCAGATGTGAGTCATGAAGAACAAATGACTCTAATTATTAGGTGTGTGAATATATCGAGAAATGTTCCAAGGGTAGAGGAGTTCTTCCTAGAGTTTTTGAAGGTTGATGACACATCAGGATTGGGTCTTTTTAATGAATTAAAGAGTGCATTGGCCTCTCTTGGTTTGAATATTGATGATGTGAGGGGTCAAGGGTATGATAATGGTTCAAATATAAAGGGGAAACACCAAGGTGTTCAGACACGCTTGCTTGAAATTAATCCAAGAGCACTATATATGCCGTGTGCATGTCATAGTCTGAATCTTATTCTTTGTGATATGGGAAAAAATCTTGCAGGTAAACTATTATTTCTTTTATATGTTATATATTGTTTTCATATAATATGTCATTATTTGGGATCTTACTATTTGTGATATTTGAAATCTTGCAGGCAAGCTATTTCTTTTTTTGGCATTATCCAACGTATATATACCCTGTTTGCAAAATCTACCAAAAGGTGGAAGATTTTAGTTGACAATGTCCCAGGATTGACAGTTAAGTCATGGTCTAATACTCGCTGGGAAAGCCGAATAAAAAGTGTTCAAGCTATCAGATTCCAAACTCCTCAAATAAGATCAGCTTTAATAGCGCTAGAGAAGGTTTCAACTAATGACCCAATGGCAGTTAGTGAATGTCAATCTTTGGTGAGTGCACTTGAGAATTTTGAATTTATAGTTGGTTTGGTTATCTGGCATGATATTTTATTCTCTATAAATAAGGTTAGCAAGAAGTTGCAATCTAAAATTGTGAGTATAGATGCTACTCTCAAACACATTGAAGGTGTCATATCATATTTTAAGAAGTATAGAGATGAAGGTTTCACTTCTAGTATGAATACAGCAAAAAATATTGCATCTGAATTGGATATAGAGTTAATATTTCCTACAAAACGTCAACGAAAGAGAAAGAAATATTTTGATGAACAAGATGATCAAGACGAGGAAATACAACAGTCTGCTGTGGACTCCTTTAGAAAAGAGTACTTCCTAGTTATGATTGATTCTGCAATTGCTTCATTGACTACTAGATTTGAGCAGATGACAGCATTTGATAATGTTTTTGGGTTCTTGTTCAACTCAGAAAATTTGAAATCCTTGGATGAAGCTGATCTTTGGTTGCGCTGCAAGATTTTTGTGGAAAAATTTTCACATGATAACTCATCCGATGTTGAGATCAATGATTTTTTTTTCAGAATTAAAGGTGTTGCAAGTGACTTTGCCAGATTCTTTGATGTCGGCGCCAGAGATTCTGAAGTTTGTTATGGATGCAGATTGCTATCCAAATATTTTAGTTGCCTATCGAATTCTTTTAACTGTACCTGTGACTGTAGCTTCGGCCAAAAGAAGTTTCTCAAAATTGAAGTTGTTGAAGAACTATTTGAGATCAACTATGTCACAAGAAAGGTTAAATGGCTTGGCTATGTGCACCATCGAGAAGGATATCTTAGACACTATTGATCTCGATACCGTCCTTGATGATTTTGCATCAAGAAATGCCCAAAGAAGTATCTTTTTATAAGAAGCAGTGGATATGATGGAGTTCTATTCTTCTTTAAGGTAATCATATTAGTTCTAGAAGTACAAATATATTGCTCTTTTAGTCTACGTTGTTTCTCGCTCTCGATAATTATCAGACATATTAAATTAAAATATATTATTAGATTTGCTTTTCCTGTACAAGTAAAATTAGTCTATATATTCTAAAATTTTATGGTTTAGAGGGGCCGTCACGACGAGTTCGCCAGAGGGCCCTCAAAATCATAGGACCGGCGCTGCCAAGACACGGGACATGAAGTGGATGATCCTCGACGTTACCATTGGGGAGAGGGACAAGCTCATCGACCTGGCCTGCGACACCGACGACGCCAAGGTCTACTGCGTCACCTTGTTGGGAGACGTGCACGTGCTCCGCATCCCCCAGCGACAGCGACGGAGGCCCATCGTTGAACCCTTGCTGGCCGAGCGCGCTGGCCTCCCGTTCGACCCCGCCGCCGCCTACGCCCCGCCCTACGACACCGCGTCCAAGTTCACAAACGTCAAGAATATCTTCTTCTTCGGCGGTAACTTGTACGAAGTGTGGCGGAACGCCACCAGCGCCCGCTCTTGGCTGACGCCGGCCGGTGGCCGGTTCGTCATGTTGAAAGACGACATCTTCGTCCTCAAGTACAACCCCGAGCGCCGGCCATGCTGGGACGCGGTGACGGACCTGGGAGGCTACTCGGTGTTCGTCGGCAAGAACCTTCCCGTGGTGCTGCTACCAAAGGATGCGCCAGGCGTGACGGCCAACTGCGTGTACTGGATCAATGAGCAATCGAGGAATGAGCCCATGGTGTTCGACATGGTCACCAGGACCTCGACACTTCACCCTTCCGCCGCCAAAGCATTGTCTCCCTCGTGCAAACCAGTCTGCTGCTGGTACTTCTTGGATGACAAGATTACAGAGGTCCAAGACAATAATGGAAGAAAACGACGTCTAAGTATAGATCATTGCGAGCAGGTCTCCAAGAGTAGTCGGAAAGCACGCTAGAGCTAGTCACGTACGTAGAATTATCGTGCATTAGGAAATGTTTCGTCTCCTTCCGATGTTTATAGAGCACCTTGGCTAGGTGATTGTGAGAGGTTAAATTGCAATCTACCCTACTGCATTTTTCCCTCTTAGAGATCCACCTGCAGGCCCATAATTTTTTACTAATTCGTCAGACTGATAATTATTGTTTGGTCGGAAGCCCCATCGCTATTGGAATTCATGCTGGAGGTTAATCGGCGGTGACAGGGGTGACCTACCACTGCCGGGATAGTCGGCGACCCGACAATGATAATGGTACAACATTGTCGGGACAGAGTAGCAATCGACAGTGATATTCATGTATATCATTGCAGGGCGGCTTGTCAACCGGCAATAATATTTTTTTGCTGCCAGGTTGACACTTGAGCCGGCAAACATGATATATCACTGTTGGCTTGTGCTTGAATCCGGCTATGTTATGCATGACATCATTGCCGGCTCAGCACCACACGTCCACACCCAACAGTGAATTTGTGACTGTCACTATCGGCTGAGCACTACACCTGGGAGTGAGTGAGGCTCCAGATACACTAGATATATAGCGTACATAAGATAATTACAATGACTCAGATGTATAACGCATCAGATAAGTTACATAGAACACGTCAAAACATCCATAATGTGTACGAACAAAGCTGTCTAGAATAACAAATAAAGTAGTACCAATTAGTTCTCGCCTTCGTATAAAATGTAGAGATCTCTCTCTTCATTCTTCGAACACCTTGTCCATAAGGAACCCAGTAAGTTGTTCTTGTATTTCACATATCTCGAACTCTAGCAACGGATCGTATTGCTCTTCTCTCTGTTATTGAATCGAAAAGGTATTAATAAGATGCACGATTAACATATGCCAGGATAACAGAAGGGTGTTGATCCTGCAGGCAACGCGCATAACAAACAACCAGTCCAAACAAAAAAAGAGACCTCAGTGTTACTTTATTGGGTTAGACTGAAAGAGAAAACTGATCCATGATTTTTAAAGAAAACAAAGTTCTGACGATTTTGATTCTAACACCCTATATCTAAACAAACATTGAAGATAACAAAGCTACTGACAATAATATCAGAATTAAAAAGATCTATCGGATAAACTCGTGACCTTAAAGGCATGGGCACACACTCGATTTGAGGTTTAAAATGTTATTATAGCACATTTACTTGAAACCTATTGCTGTTTATGTAAAATCATTAATTATCATTTTGTTAATGTTTTTTTCTAGAACGTCAATAGACTTTGATTTATTCTAGTATATCTTTCTTAGGCCCTGTTTGCTTCGCTGAAAAGCCAAGCTGGAAAATATTGTTTGTTGATTTGTTATGAGAGAAAAACACTATATTATAGCTGATAAGTCGGGCTGATAATGTCCAGAGACCTGAATTTAATATAGTTTAATCCCTTTTTTTGAAAAAAAATATAAAAATGCCAGTAAACGCTTTGGTGTCCCAGTTTCGTGCCTTCCGGGTCCGGGCTTCTCCTCGCTATGGGCCTGCACTGCCTCTATGGCTCTATTGGGTCTCGCGGACTAGTCCAGCCAGTGCGGTGTTCGTTCTCCATCGACCTCCCGGGCGTGCTCGCCATGGATGACCCGGAGGCCTGAGCCCTCGATCTCCCGCACCCGCATCCGCGCCATCGTTGGCGCGGGGCCGCATCCGAGCATGTGGTCGTCGCAGGCCGCAAGCAGGGCCGCGGCGCGTTCGTGTTCCTCGCGGTCAGCGACGGCTCCTGTGCCCCGCCGCCCTCCAGGCCGTGTCCGAGGCTGGGGTAATGCGCGGCGCACCGCTCGCGCGCCTCACGTCCATGGGTACCTCCTTGCTTCTCGAGCTCCATGTCGATAGGGTAATGGAGGTTGGGGAGGTGGACGACGCTGCGCAAGAGCATGACAGCCCGAGAATTTCAGGGACCAACACGGTATAAAGTCACTCGCTTTCTCAATTGATTCGTTTGCTTAATTCATCATCACAGACGGACATACCTCAAGTGTACTCTGAGAACGCCGACTAGAGTTTTATTGCGAACTTTAATCTTCCATGGGGATAGAGTTGACTGAACTTCGTCCAACATGAAATTTGATTTGCTTGTTTTCGTTCTTTTTTTGTTTGCTTGTTTGTGGAAAATGTATAGCGAATGATGTTCTTTGGGCATAGATTTGTGCAAGTAAATTAGTTCTCTTCTTTTCTGCAAGGGACTAAATTAACTCTTTTATTAGTAGTCCCCTATATCAGTATAGTCTTTCGGTCGAAGCCTCCCACGCACGCCAGGAACCGATCCAAGCCACCTGTTAACGCTCTGTGCGCCAGGCAAAGCTTCTCGGAGTAGGAGCAAAGCAAACATGCCCAATGCTTGAAATTTCAATTCTAGTTAATCGTCTGCAGATAAGCGCAGTTGCTGGGATTAGGCATCAACTAAGCCTGTTTGGCACACAAGTTTTTCACTTTTTCTACAAGAACGGTTTTCTTTATGTCCATACTCTATACACCTATAATAACTACTGTGAGGCTGCTGGTGATATGTTTCAGGTCACAGCTCTATTCAGCCAGGGTGCTGGAACTGTTCCACGCAAGGATGGTGGAATGACTCGTTTTCAGAATGGGAACGATTCCTTTTGACTTTGAGAATGACTTCTTCAAGTGTCAAGCTTTTTGATCATATATCAGGCCAACTTCAGGTTGAGACTTATGCTTGTCTTCTAAGTAGTGTGTACACCTTTGGACCAACATTCCGGGCAGAGAACTCTTATACGTCAAGACAACTGGCAGAGTTTTGGATGGTTGAACTAGAAATTGCATTTGCAAACTTGCAGGTGAGAGGGCGACTGGAATGCAACACACGCTCATGGAGGCGCCCATGACGTTCTTGGTGGCAGGGCGGCTTGCGTGAGATGAAGGTGGGAGGTTGAGATCGACCACAATGGGGAGGGTATGCTCTTCATAAAGGCCTACACACCCGACGCTGCCGTCGACGACTAAGGCGATTTCACGCCCACCATGGAGCTTAGGTGCCTCATCCCGACTGTCGTATACTCCTTGTGCTCCAGGTGAGCTCATTATTCAGTATCTGCCGATTCTGATCTTTTCTGATTAAGAATTCAAAAGCTTAGAATCTAGAAAAGTTCTCAAAAAGTAATATTAATGGTTCATTGTTCACAATGCCTTAAAGAGCCATGCACCACAAGTGAAGCTATTATATTTGTTGACTGATTGGATGGCTGGGTCCTGTGTTTCATTGTGATGTGAATTTGATCCTCTTGGGAGGTTGAGAGTATCAAGTGCTTATCTCTGTGGTGAACTCCTGCATTTGGTTGCCTTTTATCATCTGTGGCACATTTGTGGTTATACCCAGGAAGCTGTTGTCTTCTATTTTTAACTGGATTCATACACTTTCCCTTAAGCTTTGTTCAAAATTGCTTAAGAATCAGCGGTGGCTGTATTCATTACTCCATCGAATAAATTCTTTTTTCACCTTGACCTGATTGAATTCTATTGTCAATAAACTGATTTGTTGTCTAGTGATTGTGTTTCATACATTTAGACTCCATTATGTGTCTATGTTACCTTATAGTGTTTTTTTAAAAATATGTGAGGTTTATACTATGTGAAATTAATGGCAACGTGCATTTGATTTAGATTTTGATGTATCGTGCACAGCAGTACCAAGCAGGTTACCATGAGAGTTACAGTCCTTCCAAACATGAGGATTTTTTCAGTAGAAGAGCAATTTGTTAACTGCACAAAATTCTTGGTGCTTGGATTCTTTGGGAAACATCGCAGCGATTGTGTGTTTAATGGAGCTGTTCCTAACATACAGCTTGTGTTTAGAAATATCCTTGAGGGGAGGTTCATCTTTGGTGTATTGCTGACGCCAAGGGGCTAGCCCGTTTGGAGGTAGCAGCCAGGTAGAAGATTTGTTTAGATGTCAGATCGGGCCGTGTTCTCTGAAGAAATGGGCTCGATTGTAACTGTCTAATCCGTGCATGTGTGTGTGGGTGTGTTGTGTGTTTTTTTTGGGGTGTTGTACTTTAAGTTCTCTTCTTCTTAATGCAATGATACGCATATCACCTGCGCATTCTAGATTTTTTTTGTTAATCACACAACATGCAATATATTCAATGTCAATTTACACTATGCATGTGCAGTTCTTGAAATGCTTGGATTGCAGACCTAGTGTTCTTTTTAACATTTATAACCTAGCAACTTGCCACCTCAGCTGCTTTACTGTTTGCAGCACTTGTGGTCTACCCTGTTTAGTTATCTACACTGAATTCGGTAATAATTGAATGGGCATGTGCAGAACTTTCCTAGTAGTGGCTTTAAAATTAGCACTTTAAGCCTTTAACTGTTCTACCCTTTTATGCCAAAATTAATAGGTAGATTACACAAATCCTGCAGATGTACATGACAGTTTGGTTGTGCTTGCATTAGCCAGTAGGCATATTTGTCTTCCAATTGAGGTCGACTATGTAAGTATTTTTTCGATGATCTAGACATGCATGGACTTAATTAACTTTGATATGGACATGTATCACCCTAGTTTTGTTCTGCCTGCCCAATTGGAGGCGAATGTCCCTGGGCCCTCTTCCCTGATTTACTCACTATTTCCCTAGAGGATCTCTATGCTTTACCACATGGTGATCATGTTGCTGGGCTTGAGGGCGAGGAACCCTGTCTGCCCATGGTGGCTATTGCTGGCGATCAGCCGGCACCTTCCTTTTTTTTCCTCGAACACAGGCACACAGCTGGCAGCCCGACACCTTCCTTGGCTGTGGCTAGAAGAGTCTACGCATCGCGAGGCTTCTCCTGGGTCTATTTGCAGCGCTGCCCCTATTTCGTTTCTAGAAGATTAGGTATATTGAATCACCACTATTACATCCAGAGTAATTGACTCTATTAAAAAAGTAAACAATAATGTACAGTAGTAAGTATGATTGAAAAGTTGTTGATTTACTTAGAGCTTAACTTTATCT